TGATAATATTGATAGAAATAATAGGTTTATGTACTACCTTGGTTATTAAATGTTACACATATGATGTTATCACAAGAATACTGCAACGAATGCACAAAAGCAGTAAAGCAACCTTTTTTATGAGATCTGTAGCTATGCGACCATTTATTTTTAGTGACTGGTTTTTTTTTCTTCCACATACTCTGATGACCAGCGGGTAAAGAAATAAGGGGAGATATGGCTAGGGATAGACTGGCCAATCCGTGGAAAATTTCAAAAATAAATTCCGAAATCGTGGTCCTACGCAAAATTAGTATGACTGTTCTATCCTGAGGCATATTCATTGCTATTAATTATTCATGATATGCAGTGATGTTATGAAACCCAGAATGGAACACTCCCAAATGAAGAAATTATGTGTGCACCAGCGCAAAAGTGTCAGGCCACATGTGCATTATAATTGTGTAGAACAGATCTGACCAAAAGCTGCCTTTCTTATTGGTTGGCAGCTTACAAGACATGCTACTCATTAGCATATTTATCACCACAAAAACATGGTGACAACTATAGAGGGCGCAGCAGAACAGACCAGTCATAATCAGAAGATTCTACAAACTCATTCTAAAAGAATTATCATATAAAATAATAAACTCGCCATGACTGGGTCAGTCTAGGCTGGCGACTGAAATTGCCTGCTCCCATAAATAACATATGCCTTCTTACCAATTTGTTTAAGGTTTGCAGATTTTCAGCTTGTTATGATCCCATAGGATACTGGGACATGTTGATGCTTACCTTATTATCTTTATTAAACTGTGCACCACTGTCTTCTTGGTTTAGATTATAAGGAAGATAAATATCAAGGTGATAGAGAGTGGGATGAGCATGTAATAATATTCTATCTTCACCTAAATCTAGGTTTAATGTCTTACTGGATTTCTGGAAAATAACAGCTATATTTAGTTGGTCACATGTCAGATTCTCACATGATAACTTGCATACTGGGTTTGAAATTGTGAACTCGCATGTCAGCTTCTTTAATAGGTGAGTACTCGCACATCGAGATTTTGAATTGTGAACTCAGTCAGATTCTCAGATGAAAACTTGCATACTGGATTTGAAATTGTGAACTCACATGTCAGATTCTCAGGTGAGTACCGGTACTCACACATTGAGATTTTGAATTGTGAGCTCACTCAGATGAGCACCTGCATACTGGGTTTGAAATTGTGAACTCGCATGTCAGTTTCTTTATTAGGTGAGTACTCACACATTGAAGATTTTGGATTGTGAACTCACTCAGATTCTCAAGATGAGAACCTGCATACCGGGTTTGAAATTGTGAACTTGCATGTCAGCTGCTTAGGTCTGTACTCGCACATTGAGATTTGAAATTGTGAACTCACATGTCAGATTCTTAGTTGATTTCCAAAAGGAACAACAACTTACAACATTTGGTAACTGAATTTCTGCTACAAGGAATTCTGGATGACCCTCTGGTGGCTCTCTTAATATCTGATATTCTGGTTCTGGTCCTTTATTTTTATCTCCACTCGGATCATCTTCAATTTCAGTAATTAAAGATGATTTGGGTTTTTCTTCTGGTTTCTCATCTTTCTCCATTTCCTGTATTCTGGGTTTGGATCTGGTTCGTATGTGTTGTTCCGGCAATGAACCAAGAAATTTTCTATTTTTCAAAATGACATAATCTGAAATGGAATATGAACAACATTTATTGATGCACAGAATTATCATTTTGCCATCATTTTGTTGTGTTTTGGTTTGTGGAGATGAAAGTTGTAGAAACAATGCACAGAATTATCATTTTGTTATGTTTTGGTTGGTGGAGATGAAAGTTGTAGAAACTATGCACAGAATTATCATTTTAATTCTGTAAGCTAACATCATGCATTACGCTATTATCTGGTTTGAAAGGACTTCTTGAATCGCGTTCAACGCTCACGCCTATATCATTTTGAGCAGTCAAAACAACTGTCTGAATCATGCTTTCCCGTAGCTTTTACGCGGAAATCACGCGGAAATCACTCCAAACTTGTAAATTAACATCGAAATTGTATCGCGGATATAGTCATGTCTGTGTACGACATGAAAATAAAGCACCACAGGCGTTAAGTTTGCTGAAAAGAGTGATTTTGTGGAGCACCCCGAAGCGATGTTCCACGATTGAGTGTCATTTGCATACTGAAAACTGGCGGCCATCTTTCCTGTCATGTATCCGGACCCGCGGTTTAATGATTTGATGTGACTGTTCACAACCTTTTTAAAATATCCATTGCAAAATATTCAATAACTCCAAATATAAACATTAATTTTGAACCAAATAGTATGATATCTTTTACAGATTCTGACCAAACATTTTATAATTTGATCAACAGCTCTTAGTATAAATTAGTAAATTCAAATCAGACTGTGGAAGGTTACAAAATCAGCAATGGCAGTGAGAGGTGCAGAGACCAACTTACTTCTATCTAGCTTCATATCGTATTTCAATTCCAATCCTTCAAATACCAAGGAGAGAAAGAAACCTTGGAATATCATGTTATCTCGGATTTTCTCAAAGAACGTTGGATTAATGATGACATCATATGCAGTACAGCCATTGCCACCTACAGGGAAAAAAAAAAACAGTTTGATTAAAGCCGAAAGGAACAGTGGACTCAAATAGTGGCATGAAAACAACATTGCTGAAAACGATTTTGGTGTCAAGCTTGTGTTGTTTCTTTAAATGGCACGATGCTGTTGAGCTGGGAGAAAAAAAAAAAAACAGTCACGAGTCTGAGACAATGCACTGGTGTTATGATTTAGGTATCTCGAATAAACAGGATACAATTAAAGCAGCTAAAATACCCTAAATGTGTTACAGCCTATTCACTTAAGTTATTGTCATGCAAAATTACCATCTTGTAATTGTTCAACTGTTGTGATTTGTTTAAGTTGGTAACCTAAACCGAGTAGGAATACATTGCCGTACTGTGACCGCTTCTACGATGTCTTTCCCTGGCTCAACCCTATCCGATTTCAACCAAGAAGGTTTATTGAAGCCAAATTTGGCTTGGCTCCGATAATATGCTGTCGTGTAAACATAGCATATATATATGCTTCTAAACAACAGCGATTATTATGCCAAGCTTCGGTAAAATAGTCTTTTCTGAAACTTACAGGTCGATTGTGTCGTACCAAAGTGGATGTATGTGACTGTGAATATTAAAGCAATGACTAGTTGTTGTTGTTGAAATGAAATTAATGTTGTGTTAATTGTGTTCACTGTTATGTTCAGTGTTCGACATGGTCTGTTTCGCAAACTATATCATATACATGTACATGTAGTTAGTGGACATTCAACTACTGTAAAATCTGTATTAGAAACCGCAGCTTCTATTAAAATAGTACAACGCAACAGAGGGGATGCGGCTTCTATTGGAGCATCTACACATATGAGAAATGATGAATTTTTGGTTACCAATTATTCAAAAAGAATGGGTGCGACTTCTATAAGGGATGCGGCTTCTAATACAGATTTTACGGTACCATCTAATCAGAAAAGAACGATCTTGGGTGGATATGCAGAAAAAATCTATTGAAAAATAAAACTATACAACATATCAACTTGGCTTATAATCTCACCATTGCCATGACAGTTTTCTAGCCATGTTTTACAATGGAAATGAGATGTCGCAATAGTAGTGACATAAATATGTCACCAGTCAGTAATTTAGTGATTTCGTTATATCATGGAAGGTACTAACGAAAGGAGCCACGGCACTATTGTTTTAGCTTTACCCTATGATTGTTTGTCAATATTTGTTCACAAACATTGGTTTTTGTTAGCTCTTAGCACCTTCTTATAATGGGTTATGCTAATCTCAAGCATTCGTTAATATTCAGAGCATGTTCAGTAGCAATAGACAAACTGTGCATGCACAAGATTGAAAATGACGTCTCGTTGGAATGTTGTTGTTTCCGGAGATCTTGGCGAATTTTAATGAAAAATTGGCAGATATAACATCGATTGAAGAAGAACTGATGAACTATTGTGAATCTTTTTGTATTTGTAATGACGATGAGACGTAATCAATGATTGCCTGTGACAATAACGATTGCATTATTCAATGATACCATCATCAGTGCGTGGGTTTGACGCCCAAAACTGTTTGAAATTTTCGATCACCGGGCATCGGCGAACACCACCAGAAAAGATAGCATCAAAAGAAGAGCATGCCGAGACACTTTCTCTGTGATAATAGTTTTAGGAGTTCTTAGGAATTTGTGTTATAAATGTTCAAAATCTTATTCTTGTTACAATTGCTAATAATGAAAACATGTGAAATCTGAAGTGAAACGTTCATCTGTTGAATTTCGGTTGTGAAATGCGTATTTTGAACTTTCACACCTAAACAAACCCAGTGCACATGTGTGATGACCATAGTTCTATTTTTTACATTTTCTTACTTTGCTATTATTTTAATCACTTATATATTTATTGCTGTAAACCAATAGAAAATCTGTAATTCTAAGGATGCGATAAAGTTATTATTATTATTATTATTATTGTGCACATATTTTATGGTCACGTTAAAAATCAGCGAGGTTATATCATATTCCACTAACTCATTACTTGTGTAAGTAATCGCAAACTACCGGTATCATCGACATCAAAGATGAGCTAGACAATGTCCTTAACAGGATTAACTTTGGTTGAAACAAAAGGAAATAAGTCAGTTAAGAGGCTTAAGTGGCCACTTGAGACGTGTTGCGGCTCCTTCCATTAGTACCTTCCATAGTTATATCATCTTTACTGGAAAGTGAAAGTGGGAACGTCATGCAGTGAATAGTATGTTTTATTGTTTATTAAACATCAAATTATGATGGTACGAGGGTGGTAAATGGATATGATATGACAAATCTACATTTATGAAGAAAACTATTGTTTTAATAAAAATAAATCAAAGAAATGATCACATCATTTGTATCTTAGTTCTGTAGTAGTCCTGATATTAGTTTTGTCGTTACGGCATGTCTATGTAGACAAGGTTAGTAGTAACCTGGGGTAACATAGGTCCATCCATGCTGGATTGAAGCAAAGCTGACAAGACCGTGACCACATTGATGCGTCTGGGGATTAGTGTTATCAGCTTGTAAATAAACTACAAGACTTTCTGTAAATATACACTGTGCAAGTGATTAACAACACCCATTCGCATAGCCATACCTCCAATAAACAATCGCCCAGGGCGACTGAATTGGGCCTTTAAAATGCAACATTTGATACATCATCAAATTTTATGCAAACAATGTATACTACACACATCCTATATGCAGCATGGAATCCAATATTAAACAATGCAGATAAAAACCTCTTATATTTTGTTATATTTCAGCAGTAGAAACAAACCTTAGACGTAAATAGTCACTGAGATTGAGTTGACAGAAAGAGATCCAATCTTGTTTTTTCTCTCCGGAATAGAGTTCCATTCCATAATCACATCAATTGTTCCATTGATTTATGTAACCATGGTAATTGAAGAAAAGAACAAAATGATGTGAGAGAACACTATTTGAGGGGAAACACCAGCTGAGTAGCTCTCTTGCTCTCAATGGGATCTCCGTGGCTATTTACATCTAAATTATATTCCAGTAACATAACAATATATTAGCAATATATTACTGAATAATAGAAATATCAATAGTTTCTGTGATTCTGACTTACTTTTGTCTAATTCAGCATGTGGTTCACCTAAACTCATCGGTACACGATAATCAGGCTCTTCAGTGTCTAATAAATCCAGAAGTTCTTTCTCCGTGATCTCTTTAGCATTTGGTATCTGAAATATTGTAGTTGAATACAGAAACTCTGTAATAAAGTACGTGCAGTGAAGTACAGTACTACTGACAAGTACTGTAAAAGCATTAATTTTCAGAGGTATTTAATTTCACTATTTTGATATTTTAAATATATTCAATGGGTTTCAAATTAAAAGATTAGCAGTGGAAAAAATGATTCCAACTTGATTTATTTGAGCAAATGGGCCAAATAAAATGAATAGGGTGTTTCTGTTGAAACAAAAGTGGGATAGATAATTATTTTATCATAACTTTTAATTTTATGAAAATGAATTAATCATTCTGCAGTGCTGAAAGGCCCATACTGTTATGCGAGAGTACTGCTCAATGATACACCACATTGTGCATGTATATGTTGACATTTTGGCTCAAAAAATGAGAAATTTCAAGTAGACCTACTAGTGCCCATTCTCTGGTTTGGGTATGAAAAAAATGGACAAGGTTGAGTTATCAAAAACACATTTTTTTTGCATCATGTTCCTATGGTTACTAATGAAAAGTACATAAATGCAAGTGCCCTTTGCAAGATTTGACTTGGATCTAATATTTTGATAAAACTGATTAACATATAAATATTTCAATTCAAGCTAAATGGATAACTGCTAAATCTTGTGTATTGCGTAAAAAGTGCGAACGAAATATCTGCCACGAAAAACAAATGATTTTAAAGCTGAATGTTGAAATTCTGATCTTTAAGAGCATTGCGTCTTTATTCTGTTGAGATGCCCTTACGAAGAAAATACTCTCACGTTTGATGAATCCCATTCAAAGTTTAGATGCCACTGTGACCTTTGTTTGTCCAGTTTTGATGTTCGATTTCACGCATAACGATAGCCTGACAAGGTTCTGTGAGTTTTGCCCTCTGCAGTGCTGCAAACTAACAAATGCTTGACAGAATGATGTGGTTTTTCACTTCCCGCAATGAGTTTTTATCAGTACCAATCAAATTGCAGGAACATCAAACATTGACAGCCACTCAGGGCTTTATTCAGAGTTTATTTGTTGACATAATGTGTGATAATGTGCTGGAAAATTTCTGCCCAATGTTTATTATCTTGTTAAAAACAGTCTGTAATTTTTGCCAAAAATGCAAACATGGCTGTGTCTGGTGACAAAGCCGATGTACAGGAGAAATCGCTAGTCGATTTCTTGGTTTGTCATGGTGTACGTCACAAACAACACATGATGTCTGATTGAATGAGAGTTCCAATGTTGTTTTCACGGGGGTGGTTTTGCTGCTTGTGGACTGCAAACACAGCATGTTTGTCAGCACAGTGACTCTTTCTCACTGCAGTCGCATGTCGTCCACATCTGTAAACGCACGTTGTTTACTTCCGTTATCTAATCCGCTCTTAAGTTTTAAGTGGTATTTACTTATCAAGTACCTTAATTTCATGATTGACAGTGTTACTATGAATATTCATTGAAACACATTGCAAGAAGGCGTGAACTTTGCAAATTCGAAGTATTGATCTTTCTGTTTATACATACACTATTCTGTCAGGCATTAGTAGGGTCTGATGCCATTCAGCCGACGAGGGCGCCACTCACACCTACATGTCAGGCTAGCATAATGCAGGATCACACAGTGAATGAAAAATGATCTATTCAACTCAAGTTGATTGTCAAATGTTATAAAGCAACCAATCACATGCATTGTTTAAAGTCAATGACAATATGAAGTTAATTCCACCTAAAATAGGTCAAAAGTGTTAATTATTTATGTAAAATTTTAATGCATTGAAATGCACATAGTCATCTGTTTAACATTATCATAATTAGAAGAAATGAAACTTACCCTATCTGATTTACAAACATTGACAAAAACTTTTTCTTTGTCATTTCTGGTTTTTACACAGAAGCCTGCATCTGGTAGCACTGTGTTAAATCCTGGAACTTGGTCCGGGTCAAAACCTTGCAATTCACTCGCCTACAAATAACACGCATGAAACTGACCGTTATTCCAACTTTACAATGAATCAGTATTTATATTATAGTCTGTGTCTCTGTTAAGAATGACATTTTTTATCCTGCAAATTGTTAGCCACTTTGTATCACATGGTCATGAATTGAGATCCTATAGTATTTATCTGTTTTATAGCTTTTTTGTCGTCATAAACACGTCGGAGTAAGTGACTACAACATGTGTGGTTGGTTGGTGAAGTCAACAGTAGTAGTACAGAACCTTATTCTCGATCAAAATAGCTATAGATATTATAGAATTGAAACAGTTTGGTAATGTATTGCAAGCATGTAACATGAAATTTAATGAGTAAATTTTGTCCCCAAATCACTAATACTTGTTTCTGGCTGATCAGCCCGCACTAATACAAATCAGCAACCAACCACACGAATAGATCGTCGGGCCTCTGTAGCTGCGGTTCCGTAGCTCTTTGGTGTGATCTACAATCGAATTTCGCCCTAACATAGACAACATACGGCTATGATTCCACAGCTACTGTGACTGCAGCCCCGACTGACAGTAACCTGCATTCCAATGTAGCTAAAAACATGGATATCCCCAGGGGCTTAAACATTTTCCCGTTGATATGACAAATACGTGACGTTACTGCCATGGTAATACAGCAACCGTAATTCAGTTACCAACCTGTAATAATAATTTCTCGTACAATTCCCGGGTCTCGGCGTCATCGTTTTCTAACAAACTTGAGTCCGCCATCTTTAGCGTACCAGCTGATTGACTACCCAGGTAACTAAGGAAGCTATGAGGCCCTCTAACTTTCTCTATTTGGGCAATGAATTTCGTGTAAATAGTGTAGCGGTCTTCGCGTACATTGGCACGGTAAACTCTAAGCAAAGAGTCATTTTCACTTCATATAATCCCCAACGGCGACTGGAAAACTGTTGCAATTTTCTCTAGTTATTTAATTTGGCTAAAGAGTGAATCGTTATTTTCGCTGGTTGTGGGCGAGGGCGCTATATCATTATGGCCCAGCACGAACGAGGAAAAGCGAAACTGCTCTAAAAAAACAACAACTGCAATTATGTGCAACTACAATCAATTAGCACTCGGTATGAACTACATATATTTGTTGAACTTATATAGATAAGATAAACTGTATTAGCGGCTGAATAGAACGAATAAAATACATTTGTGTTTGAGCAGCCTGGGGAAATGTAATACTCCCTATAAACCCGGGCATGCTTATGGTTTCCCCACCACCACCAGCCTACCACCACCTCACCCCAAACACGCATAGTATGGAATTCTAACCATGTAGCTCTAGAAGAACTTTCTTTGAAAACGTGTCTATTCTAGTTCGAAAACGGTGTGGTACGGTAATTGCGCCACACCACAATCATATGGGTGTAAGGGGGTGTAAGCCCTCTCAAACTAATTATTCAATATAATTATTCAATATAATCATTTGTAATCATTGATAATTTCTGGTTAGTTTATTCATTTTTGACACCACCCCCCCCCCCCATCCAATTCAATCCAATCCAAACTGAAACGAGATAGAGGTTTCTATTGGCCGGTTGTAAAACATGTTCAGATTACGTCATCTCGCACTGATTGGCTGATTGGATTCAGTTTATAAATATTTGAAAAGATGAAACGAATACCTTTGTTGAGCTGAGAGTACAAGTGTGTAGGATTGTTCATTTTTTTTAATAAATATTTTCGTCATGACATTCTGTTCTAACTATAATATTACTGGACATTTTTAGGACAAATCAGTTAAAGTAGACTTTGAATTATCATAATGGTGAAAATGCTGAAAACATGACCCGGATGATTTGTTCCCGTTTTGTTCTTAATTGCTCGTCACGTTGGGTTCGATTTGGGTGATTCAAAATTCTGTTGAAAACCTCCATCATTGTACAGTCGTTTTCTTGGAAACTACAATCAAACGAAAGCAAAACTTCAGGTAAGAGTTCTTTGGGGCCCCTCGCCCATAATTCTATCCCTGAATCCTGCGCCTCCAGCACACCTTCCCCATTTAAATTGTATTTACCCCTTATTGGGTCGTTTACAATTATTTGGAGGATCATACTGAATTACACTGGGGTGGAGTGTTAGGGTTAGGGTTCAGGTTAGGGTGAAAAGGCCTTAAGGAACTCTTTCCAAACTTCGACAGCTTTCTTTTTTTGCTGATTATGTTGGTTACGTGCGTTATACATTTCGGAAACTTAAAGCGCGGCGGTCGTCGCGCAGCACGTGTTCGAATTTCATGTAAATAAACAATGTATTTTACACGCGTTGTACTGTATACGTCGCTATGAGTCCCATGTCGAACACGACGCGGCACGACGACACCCGCCCTTTCTGTTTTAACCGATTTTTTAAACATATCCGACCCGGCCAAAGGCGAAGCATGCATATTTCTCGACTTCTAACTATAGATATATAGTATTGTAAAACGTACTTTCGCTGGAAACGTATCGATTTTTGATTTTTGTTGTCAGTTCGGAAAATTGACCACTTTTTACATAGTAAGGAAGTGTAATATCTTATCAGCGACGTAAATTATGTGTTATGTAATGCTA